TCACTTTGAGGACCAAACACTGCTTAGGTCTCCCGTCACCTGCTCATTATGGTGCTAAAGGATTTCTTAGAGAAGAAATTTTGTTATTGTGCCTGCTTTCTACATGTCATATTGTTTGAGTACAAAGTAACAGTATGGAAAAAATTAAGACATAAACTTTTCCGCCTTTTGTTCTTTGTTCACCTTTTTATAGCACATTTCCATAGTTGATCTCCTAATATATCAAGAGACTTGTTTCTTTTTAGGAATTATCTTTTTTTTTTTTAAGATTTATTTATTTTACCTGAAAGTCAGAGTTACACAGAGAGAGAAGGAGAGGCAGAGAGAGAGGTCTTCCATCCGCTGGTTCACTCCCCAATTGGCCACAACAGCTGGAGCTACACCAGTCTGGAGCCAGGAGCTTCTTCCAGATCTGCTACGAAGGTGCAGGAGTCCAAGGACTTGGGCCATCTTCCACTGCTTTCCCAGGTCATAGCAGAGAATTGGATCAGAAGTGGAGCAGCCGGGACTCTAACCGGCACTCATATGAGATGCTGGCACTGCAGGTGGCGGCATACTCGCTACGCAGCAGCACCAGCCCCTAGAGGATTTATCTTTAAAAAATGGCTTATGGGCCAGCGCTGTGGAATAGCAGGTTAAATCACCTTCTGTAGCACCAGCATCCCATATGGACACTGTTCATTTCCCAGATACTTCTCTTCCTATCCAGCTGCCTGAGAAAGCAGTGGAAGATGGCCCAAGTGCCTGGGCCCCTTTACCCATGTGGGAGACTCAGAAGAAGCTACTGGCTCCTGGTTTTGGTCTGGCCCAGTCCTGGCTGTTTCGGCCATTTGGGGGATGAACCCCTCTGTATATAACTCTGCCTTTCAAAAAAAATCTTTACAAAAAAATTCGTTTATACATAATATTTCTCTTCCTCCACCTCCCCACTACCAGTGGTTTCTGTTTTAAATTTGCTTCATAATACTATGCTAAAATTTACTTGGGGTAAAATAACCAAGATTTCTGGGGGATAAGAAGTTTTTAACCCTGCTTAACAGGATATTGCTTGGTTTTAGGTATTGTCTTTAGAAGCTTTTTTATCTTATGAATCTGATACATTGCACGTTGTGCCTTAGTCACAAAGAAGAGTTACTTCAGAATTACCTGTGACCAGGAGCTTGCGGTTGCATAGATACGTAGCTACTCCCCCATGGGGTTGTAGGTGAAAAGAAGTGATGCTGGTATCCCACATTAGTGCTGGTTTGAGTCCCTGCTACCACCTTTCTCATCTAGCTCCCTGCTAATGCACCTGAGAAAATTGCAGATAAAGACTGAAGTGTTTGGGCCCCTGCCACCCACATGGGAAACCAGGATGGAGTTCCAGGCTCCTGGCTTCCACCTAGCTCAGCTGCAACCAGCTGTTGTGGCTATTTGAAGAGTGAACCAGTGAATGGAAGATTGTGTGTGTGTGTATGTGTGTGTGTGTATCTGTGTCACTATCACTCTGCCTTTCAAATACATAAAGAGGCATAGGGCTTGATTACAACACGATTGCATTCAGGGATAATCTAGCATCATTCCTGAGAAGCACAACCTAAGCTTCAGATCTAGAGTTTTATGGCATATCAAACCCTAATGGTGTTATGTAATGTAATGGTGGCATTTGTAACCTGTTTTTATGATCTGTAATACCCACTTGTCTACACTGACTTTACTGAGGCAAACTGCCATGTTATGCTTTCATTCCCACAGTCAGAAGAAGGAGAGTAGATAGGACATAAAAAAGAAAATGTGGTGGAAAATGGCATACTGGTTTTTCTGCCTCTGCCACTCACCTGTAATCAATAGATGAAACTAATCCACATGAAATTGTTTTTAAAAATTTTTAAGGGGCCAGTGCTGTGGCATAGCCTGTTAAGCCACTGCCTGCAGTGCTGGCATCCCATATGGATGCAGGTTCAAGTCCTGACTGCTCCATTACCAGTCCAGCCCCCTGCTAATGTGCCTGGGAAAGCACAAGCAGATGGCCCAAGTACTTGGGCTCCTACACCCACTTGGGAGACCCAAAGAAGCTCCTGGCTTCGACCATTTGAGGAGTGAATCAGTGGATGGAAAATCAGTCTCTCTCTTTCTCTCTCTCTCTCTGCCTCCTCTCCCTCTCTCTCTAACTCTACCTTTCAAATAAATCTTTAAAACAGTTTTACTTCGTTTTCATTTTGAAAGGCAGAGAGACAGATTTTCTGTCTGCTAGTTCAATCCCCAAATGCCTTCAACAGTGAAGGCTGGACCAGGTTGAACTCAGTCCTAGTTTCCCACGTGCATGGCAGAGACCCAATACTTGAGCCAACACCTGCTGCCTCTCAGGATGTGTATTACCAGAGAAATGGAATGGGTCAAGACTGAAACCCAGGCACCCCGGTATGAAGGTATTCCAAGCAACACTTAACCACTGTGCCAGAGCCCGCGCCCCACTCCCATCCTTGAAATTTCAATTCTAGTTTCATATTATTAAATACGTTTGTGAGATGGCTAAGCAGTGTTAGGGATATAACCAAATTCTCTGAATTTACTTTTAAACAAGTGACACCTGTTTCCCATGCTTTCATCATAGTCCTTATGGAGTAAAATTCCTTTTTGCTTCTTGGATCACTTGCAGTCCATTTGTCTTGGTGGTGGTAAACAAGGCTTGATCATAATCTGACACTGAGTTCAAGACCCAACTAAAAAGGATGTGATATGCTATCCTTTCTTGTATCTGTCTAACTTGTACCAACCATGTATACTCAGTCTCTCTATAACTCTGCCTTTGAAATAAATAAATCTGTAAAAAAGTAAGTCTATAGGAGAGCAAGTTCTTTCTTTTTTTTTTTTTTAAGATTTACTTATTTATTTGAAAATCAGAGTTATACAGAGAGAGAAGAGGCAGAGAGAGAGAGAGGGCTTCCATCCTCCGGTTCACTCTTCCAATTGACCACAATGGCTGGAGCTGCGCCAATCCGAAGCCAGGAGCTTCTTCCAGTTCTCCCACGCGAGTGCAGGGGCCCAAAGTCCTGGGCCATCTTCCACTGGAAAGCAAGTACTTTCAAAAACTATCGGTCTGGTAACAAATTAATATGGCATATAGAGCACAATTTGGGAATATCTAGAAAATTTGCTAATACAAATTTCCTTTGACCCAGCAACTTTACTTCTAGGCATTTTTGCTACTAGTATACTCCTACACAAACAAAGTGACAAATGAATAAAGTTATTCATTATAGCATTCAGTTGCTTGTAACAGTGAAGGATTTTAATCAATAGAAATACCCATCACAACACCAATACCCATCAGTAGAGGGATAGTTAAATGAATTATGGGGGCTGCACTATGGTGTAGTGGGTAAAGCCGCCGCCTGCAGTTCTGGTATCCCATATGGACGCTGGTTCAAGTCCCAGCTGCTCACTTCTGATCCAGCTCTCTGCTATGGCCTGGGAAAGCAGTAGAAGAGGGCCCAAGCCCCTGGGCCCCTGCACCCAATGGGAGATCTGGAGGAAGCTCCTGGCTCCTGGGTTTGGATTGGTGCAGTTCCGGCCATTGCAGCCAATTGGGGAGTGGACCAGCAGATGGAAGACCTCTCTCTCTCTCTCTCTCTCTCTCTCTCACTCTCTCTCACTCTCTCTCCCCCTCCCTCTCTCCCTATCTGTAACTCTGACTTTGAAATAAATAAAATAAATCTTTAAAAAAATGAATTATCCTCATGACAAGAGCCTAGGGTGATTACTGATGCCATAAACAAGGGTGTCAATTTGTTAAATCAACAACAGGAGTCACTGTGTACTTACTCCTCATGTAGGATCTCTATCCTTAATGTGCTGTACATTGTGATTTAATGCTATAACTAGTACTCAAACAGTACTTTACACTTTGTGTTTCTGTGTGGGTGCAAACTGTTGAAATCTTTACTTAATATATGCTAAATTGATCTTCTGTGAATGGAATGGGAGAGGGAGCGTGAGATGGGAGGGTTGTGGATGGGAGGGAAGTTATGGGGGGGGAGCCACTGTAATACAAAAGCTGTACTTTAGAAATTTATATTTATTAAATAAATTTAAAATTTTTGTAAAAAAATGAATTATGTTGTATCCATAAAATGGAATACTTTGTAGCCATTAAAAAGATTAAAGAAGCTTCTTGAGGAATGAGGTACAAGATATATATTAAGAAATAATCAGACTGTCAAAATTTATGTTTATTAAGTTGCCATTCATGTAAGAAAAAAGAGAAAAGAGTAGCAAATATATTTGCTTGGTGGGTATAAACTATCTCTGGAAGTACATAGAAGAACTATTGAACTGGTTGTCTTTGGAGTAACTAGGTGGTTAGAGAACAGGAGAATGAGAGAGACCTTTCAAAGATGACTTTTTATACTTGATGAATTTTTTTAGTAATAGGAATTTACCCACATAATAAATAAAAACAAAACCACTTTGCAGGTGAAATAGAAAGAATGACATTTTTTTAAAAAGATTTATTTACTTATTTGAAAGTCAGAGTTACACAGAGAGAGCGAGCTGCACCGATCTAGAGCCAGGAGCTTCTTCTGGGTATCCTGTGCGGGTGCAGGGGCCCAAGGACTTGAGCCATCTTCTACTGTTTTCCCAGGCCATAGCAGAGAGCTGGATTAGAAGTGGAGCAGCTGCGTCTCGAACCGGCACCCATATGGGATGCCGGAGCTTCAGGCCAGGGCATTAACCTGCTGCGCCACAGCACCGGCCCCGAAAGTATCACATTTTTATCAAACACTTTTTTATCAAACACTTTTTTATCAATCCTGCAACCATAATAAACAGATAATTTTTTTCTTTGTTGTCTAGCTGTGGTTACCATAATCATCTCTCTATAAATAGGATTATTTACTAAGTTTCTCAATACTAAATACTAAATATTTTAATTTTTTCTCCCTTCTCCCTCAAGTCAGAACAAGCAAAGTTGAAAACTCTTGTTTTAGCATGTGCAATAATTGTGTTTTTATTCATAGGAAGAAGAAGGGAATGCTTACAAAACACCAAAAACTTCCTGGCTTCAAGATTGTGTTTTGTCCTTATCTCCAACCAACGATCTTATGGTTATAGCTCGGGAGCAAAAGGCTGTATTTCTAGTGCGTAAGTACCATATTTTCAGTGGCCTTTATTTTAATGCATGAAATAGACTAGAAAACTGATTAGATGGAAAAACAAGTTATTCTATTGCATGCATTATATAGTAGCATCTGTAGTTTATGTATTATATGTAAAACATCCTATTTCCTTTCCCTCCTCCCTTCTCTCCTGCTTGTTTTTTTTTTATGTTTTCCTTTCTTGATTACAGATGTTTTAGTTTTCTTTTTGTGGTACTTCAGAGGCAGTACTGGGCGTTGCCCTGTTCTTTCAAGGCGCAATCAAAGCTTAAAAGGTCGTAGAACCCTTCATAATGAGTGAGGGGATTTTCAACTCTAATTTTAAGGCTCACAATACTGTAGGTTTCTTTATTGAACGTAAGCTTTTAGTTGTAATTTTTGTTGAAGACTAAAATGAAGGTTAGGAGAATATGTGGGGTGAGAAAAACCTCACTGATTAGGATCAATGCTGTGGCTTAGCCGGTAAAGCCACCACCTCTGATGCCAGCATCACATATGGGCGTGGGTTCAAGTCCTCGCTGCTCCACTTCCAATTCAGCTCTCTGCTTGGTCTGGGAAAGCAGTAGAAGATGGCCCAAGTATTTGGGCCTTTGCACCCACGTGGAAGACCCAGAAGAAGATTCTGGTTCCTCGCCTCAGATTGGCCCAGCTCCAGCCATTGCAGCCATTTGGGGAGTGAACCAGTGGATGGAAGACTCACTCTCTCTCTTTCTCTCTCTCTCAGCCTCTGCCTTTCTGTAACTCTGCCTTTTGAATAAATAAATCTTAAAAACTCATTGATTGATCAAAACAAGTTATGTATAAAATGGCTATGAAATGGTCTTGTAAACAAATTTAACCTCCAGTAGTGTAAATCTAATAGAAAAATTTTCTGTATCATCTGAAGATAAAAGTAGTATGGAAAATAAAATAAGTAGGATATTATATAGGAATTAATAATTTTATTCTGTAAGAATTATGACTACATTATATAGGCTTAATTGGAAAAACTCCAGGCTAAGAGACTATATGGTTTTTTTAAAAATCTTATAAAAATTTTAAAACATTATCATATATTTACCTATAAAAAACCTAAGAGAGGGGCCGGCGCCGTGGCTCACTTGGTTAATCTTCCGCCTGTGGTTGCTGGCATCCCATATAGGTGCTGGGTTCTAGTCCTGGTTGCTCCTCTTCCAGTCCAGCTCTCTGCTGTGGCCCGGGAAGGCAGTGGAGGATGGCCCAAGTGCTTGGGCCCCTGCACCCGCATGGGAGACCAGGAGGAAGCATCTGGCTCCTGGCTTCAGATCGGCGCAGCGTTCCGACCGTAGTGGCCATTTGGGGGTGAAAAGACCTAAGAGAGTTAATACAGAACCATTAAGTTTCATATTCATCACTCTAAAGGGAAAGAGTAAAATTTATGAATTACTGTTTACCATAAAGTTATTTAATGTGATATCTTAATTTTTTTCAGCAAAGTGGAAATACAGTGACAAAGGAAAGGAAGAAATGCAATTTGCAGTTGGTTGGAGTGGTTCTTTAAATGTTGAAGAAGGGTAGGTGCCAGTTAAATTTTGTTTCTGGGTTAAATACATGTATAAGATTAACTTGTAAGTGAATTTATTAAGTTTCATTATTTGGAATTAGTAAATATATATATATATATATATATATATACACATACATACACACACACACACATCCCATCTGTAAAGGTTGTAATGAATGAGTTGGTCAGCAAATTTTACTCATCATGTGATTAATATTTTTAAAAAATCCTGTTTGAAGAAAATTTGAGTAAAAATTTCAAAAGAATTCCATAAATCCTTTTTATGTTTGGTTTTTTCCTTCTGTTTTCCCTCCATTACTGTTTTTGTTTTTGTTTTGTTTTTCCCAAAAAAATCACAGTCAGTCATTGTCTTCTTTGCTCTGTTAGTGTTTGACTTGTAGTTGAAAGGGGTGGCAATGGCCGGCACCACGGCCTACTAGGCTAATCTTCCGCCTATAGCACCGGCACCCCGGGGTCTAGTCCCGATCAGGGCACCGGATTCTGTCCCGGTTGCTCCTCTTCCAGGCCAGCTCTCTGCTATGGCCCGGGAGTGCAGTGGAGGATGGCCCAAGTCCTTGGGCCCTGCACCCGCATGGGAGACCAGGAGAAGCACCTGGCTCCTGGCTTCAGATCAGCGCAGTGCGCCGGCCGCGGAGGTCATTGGAGGGTGAACCAATGGCAAAAGGAAGACCTTTCTCCCTGTCTCTCTTTCACTGTCCACTCTGCCTGTCAAAAAAAAAAAAAAAAAAAAAAAAAGAAAGAAAGAAAAAGAAAAAAAAGAAAGGGATGGCAGTGGTACATTAATTCTTAAAGCCCAAAAGTACTTCAGAAACACAAGTTGATATGTTCAAGTTTCCTGCTGGCCCAGTAAAACTTTTAAAACTGTGATCTCTATCATGGTTACATGGTGGAGCAACCTTGAGCCAAAAACCATTTTCAGTTACATTTTTGTCCTTATCTGAAAACTATTTGACCAGAATGAGTGGATCCTCCAAACTTTTTTTTTTTTTTTTAAGATTTATTTACTTATTTGAAGGGGAGAGTGACAGAGGGAGAGAGAGGGAAAGAGTGAGAGAAGGACCTTCCATCTGCTGGTTCACTCCCCAAATGGCTGCAACAGCTAGGGCTGGTTCTGGCAGCAGACCCATTTGGGTCTCTCATGTGGATGACAGGGGCTCAGGTATCTGGGCCATCCTTCACTGCTTTTCTAGACACTTTAGCAGGAAATAGGATTGGAAGTGAAGCAGTCTGGACTCAAAACTGGCACTGTGATGTGAGATGCCAGTGTCACAGGCAACAGGTTAGCTCACTGCGCAACAGTACTCCCCCTCCAGACTTTGAGTTCAGATCCTTAACAACCAAGTGGAAGTGCTTACTTCATGCCTGGCACGTTGTTGATGTTTTCTATTATTATCAAAATAAATGATAATATTTTTCTATAGCTCATTTATTCAGTCTAAGCATGTTGAAGAAATTTAATTTTTGTGAGAAATGCAAAGCAAACATTGCTTTAAACAACCAAAAGAATAATTTTGTTAGTAATGATGCAGCTTGTTGTATGGGGTGGGAGTGTTGTAGTTTGTGGAATAAGCTAGTGATGCTCCTGAGATTTGACAGTTAAACTAAAGTCAGTTAGTGGGTGTATTAGCATTTTGAGGCTTCATCTCTGAACTTCTGACAAATATTTTTGTTAACTTTTATTTAATGAATATAAATTTCCAAAGTACAGTTTATGGATTACAATGGCTTCCCCCCCCCCCAATAACTTCCCTCCCATCCCTTTCCCTCTCCCTCCCCCTTTCCATTCACATCAAGATTCATTTTCAATTCTCTTTATATACAGAAGATCAGTTTAGCATATATTAAGTAAAGATTTCAACAGTTTGCACCCACATAGAAACACAAAGTGAAAAATACTGTTTGAGTACTAGTTATAGCATTAAATCACAATGTATACCACATTAAGGACAGAGATCCTACATGGGGAGTAAGTGCACAGTGACTCCTGTTATTGACTTAACAAATTGACACTCTTGTTTATGGCATCAGTAATCTCTTGTCATGAGTTGCCAAGGCTATGGAAGCCTTTTGAGTTTGCTGACTCTGATCATATTTAGACAAGGTCATAGTCAAAGTGGAAGTTCTCTCCTCCCTTCAGAGAAAGGTACCTCCTTCTTTGATGACCTGTTCTTTCCACTGGGATCTCACTAGCGGAGATCTTTCATTTAGGGTTTTTGTGTGTGTGTGTGTGTTTTTTGTTTTTTGTTTTTTTTTTTTTTTTGCCAGAGTGTTTTGGCTTTCCATGCCTGTAATACTCTCATGGGCTTTTCAGCCAGATCCGCGTGCTTTAAGGGCTGATTCTGAGGCCAGAGTGCTGTTTAGGACATCTGCCATTCTATGGGTCTGCTGTGTATCTCGCTTCCTATGTTGGATCGTTAAAAAAATATCTTTTTTAGGGAACCTTAAACCTAACATTTGCTTGCAAATATGGGGGTGCTTCAAAAGTTCAAAGTTAAGTCCTGGCTCTGCTTTCAATTCCATCCTTCTATAAATGACACCTGGGAGGCAGTAGGTGATGGTTCAAGTACATGGGTCCCTGCCACCCAAGTGGAATCCCAGGAGTGGATTCCTGACTTTGGCGTGGCCCAGTCCTGGCTATTACCAGCATTTGGGAAAGTGAATCAACAGATAGAAGACTGATATATTCTTTCTTTCTATCTTCCTTCCTTCCTTCCTTCCTTCCTTCCTTCCTTCCTTCCTTCCTTCCTTCCTTCCTTTCTTCCTTTCTTTCTCCCTCCCTCCCTCCCTCTCTCCCTCCCTACCTCTCTCTCTCTCTCTCTCTCCCCTCCCCCTTGCCTTTACAAAAAGGTTTTACAGATTTCTAAAATACTTTTCAAGAAGTTTAGCGTAAAAAAGAATTAAAATCAAACTTATTTTAGAGACCAGTGTTGTGTCACAGCAGCTTAAACCACCACTTGCAATGCCAGCAACCCATATTGAGGTGTAGGTCAAGTCCCAGCTGCTCTGCTTCTGATCCATCTCCTTGCTAATGCACCTGGGATAACAGCAAAAGATGGCCTAATTACCTGGGCTCTTGCCATCCACCTAGGAGACCCAGTGGAGTTCCAGTTTCCATTCTTCAGCCTGGCCCTGCCTTGGCTATTGAATCCACCTGGGGAGTGAACCAGCAAATAGATCTCTCTCTTTCTTTATCTCCCTCTCTCTCACTCTGCCTTTTGAATTAATGAATCTTTTTTAAAAATTAAAGATGATTTTGGTGAAAATGTTTGAACTCCATGTATATTTTTTTCATAATGTGCATTTCCATAAACTTAAAAGTATTTATTTTTAACTGACATTTTAAAAAACTGTACATGTTTTTGGAACTCTATGTGATATTTCAGTACAGGTATCACTGCTTAATGTCCTATCAGGGTAATATATCTACCTCCTCTAACATTTCTTTATGCTAAAAACATTCAAATCCTTTTTTTTTTTTTTTCTTGGAAAGGTATACAATACATTACCATTATCTAAATTCCTCTTACTGTGTAAAAGAACACCAGACCTTTTTATACCTGTCTGGCTATAACTTAGTTTCCATTAATCACCCTTTCTCCATCCCTCCCTGCCCACTGTGCTCCTGTCTCTGCTAAAGACCATTATACTCAACTTCTATGATCAACTTTTAATATTTTATATATGAGTGATACCATGCCATGCTTGGCTTTCTGTGCCTAACTTACTTCACTTGACATAATAACCTCCAATTCCATTCATGTCATTGCAAATGATGTCTTTCTTTTTGATGACTGAGTAGAATCCTGTTATATGTATGTATCCCATTTTATGTGTTCTTCAGTTGATGGATGATTAGATTATTTCCATTTCTTGGCTTTTGAGAATAATGCTGCAATAAACATGGGTCTGTAGACATCTCCTCCACAGACTGATTTAATTTCCCTTGGATATATAAAAATAGTGGGGTTGCTAGATCATATGGTTCTATTTTCAATTTTTTGAAGAACCTCCATACTGTTTTCCAGGGCTGTACTGATATTCATTCCCACCAACAATATGCAAGTGTTTCCTTTGCTCTGCATTCTCACCAGCACTTGTTAACTTAAGTCTTTTTGATAATAGTCTTTATCACTGGAGTGAGATATCTCATTGTGGCTTTAATTTACATTTCCCTGATATTAGTGATATTGAGTGTCTTTTTATGTAACTGTTGGTCATTTTTATGTCTTTTTTTGAGGAATGCCTAGTTAAATATACTGCTTGTTTTTAATAGGATTATTTTCTTTTAATTTAAAAAAGTGTTTGTTTATTTGAAAGAGAGTTCAAGGAAGGAAAGGAGGATGGATGGATGGATGGATGGATGAATGGATGGTTGGAAGGAAGGAAGGAAGGAAGCTAGCTAGCTAGTTAGCTCTGTCTTCTGTTTCTTTTCTCAAATGCCCGTAACATCCAGGGCTGAGCCAGGTAGAAGCCAGGGCCCTGGAAATCAACCTGGGAATCTCACGTGAGTGGCAGGGACTCAAGTACTTGAAAATCATCTGCCACCTTCCAGTGTGCATATTACCAAGAAGCTGTATCAGAAGCAAAACTAGGAGTTTTCTGACATGGGTTATAGACGTCCCAAGCAGCAACTTAACTCTAGTGCCTAAAGTCCACCCCCTGCCCTCTCCTTTTGGTTTGAGTTCTTTTTTTTTTTTTTTTTTTTTTTTTTTGACAGGCAGAGTGGACAGTGAGAGAGAGAGACAGAGAGAGAAAGGTCTTCCTTTTGCCGTTGGTTCACCCTCCAATGGCCGCCGCTGCAGCCGGGCGCACCGCGCTGATCCGATGGCAGGAGCCAGGATCCAGGTGCTTTTCCTGGTCTCCCATGGGGTGCAGGGCCCAAGCACCTGGGCCATCCTCCACTGCACTCCCTGGCCATAGCAGAGAGCTGGCCTGGAAGAGGGGCAACCGGGACAGAATCCGGCGCCCCGACCGGGACTAGAACCC